TTTTTTCGCACCTCCGTTGCGGCCGATGGCGGTCGTCCGATTGTACACGAGGTGGGCAACTTCTCCTACCGCAACGTCTTCGCCACCCACTGCTCCAACGGAGTCTTGACCGAAGACTCCTTCAAGTCGGTCATACGGCAGTGCCTTCGCCTGCAGACGGTCATCCGACCGCCTTCTGAACGCAGACCTGGACGCAGTGATGTCCCAAAAGAGGTGTGACAGATGATCATGCACTGGACCATCACACTGGACCATCCGCAGGAGGAGTGATCAGAAGGTGGATGATCTTATGATTATCATTTGCCTAATGATACAAGTTCATCCACTGGACCCCGAAAAATTCCGGGAATTCAGATCCAACCTGTGACCATCCTGCAGCCATTTCTCTTTCAGATCCAAACCATCAACTCAACTGCACCCGTCCACCCGAGCGAACCACCATCCTTGAGCTGTTCACGCCACGCTGCTTCACACCGTTCACGCTGCTCACCAAGGTTTGAACCGGACATCAAGAGCGACCAGCTCACACGTCTCTGGCGCGGGACCATCCGGACATGACACGAAGACGACGTGGTGAGAGGAGGACAGAGAAGAGAGAGAAGTTGACAGTCAACAACTTGAGAGGAGGAAAAGGCCCCACCATTCAACGTTGCTGTAGTCTTTTTTTGCAGATCAGCTCTCAATTTGCCTGCCGTGTCTCATGTGCTGGGGAGGGAGCCAGCCAGCCAGCTGTGCTTGATGCTCGATAGGGAGAGCTTCTGAGCGCAGCTCTGCCGAGGTTTTTTGCCGATGAAGACGGATCTGGCCGAATTGATTTGTTCGAGTTCATGCGGATGATTGGCCCGGAGCCCCCGAGTTCGTCATCGCCACGCAACGCCAGCTTCGAGAGCCATGCCATGCTATGTTCTCACAAAGATAGATGTGGGGTTCATGACATGAAGTGATGACACGATTTGATGGGCGGATCCAACCTAGAAGTCAGATTGATTCAATTGTGCGTTCTTCCAGATATGCGCTGCAAGTGTCATGGAAACTGGGAGCGGGCCCAGTTCTTTGATTCGAGGCTGCAACTCAAACGGCGAGATCGGGGATGAGTACTATGAGGTCGTTGGCACCTCAGATCAGCTGCTCCGCCCTGCATTGTCTTTTAGCTTGAAACGCCCGAACCCGAGGTGAGATAGACGCGATTCATGCTAAGTGTCAAGTGCATTCACAAAAAAATACCATAGGCATACTTCATCCCAAGGAATTATATATCCGGAATCCAGAGTCTCAGTATCTTCAGCTCTTTCTTGCTCTCACTTGGGAGGTATATACTGTAAGTTTCGAAGACTACTGCGACACTCACTTTCGCCCCTTTTTTGTCGAAGCTAAACGTCCCTGGCTTTACCGCCCCGTTCCATTTGCTTGTAGAACCACGTTTGGTAGGGACAGCTGTCCAACGATGTTTTCCACCTGACGGGGGCAGTCAACATATATACTACAGACATCTATAGACATGTCTATATAGAGTACGTCTATGTCAACGTCACCTACTCCAAATAAATCTCCAGATGGCGGTTGAATCACCTTGGGTGAGTCCGTCCTCTTTTGGAGCAGTCCAACATATATTTCTCGACCTCACCCGCCGATGCCAACGACTGGGAACGTCTGACTTCGGACGACCCAGTTGGCCATGCACCTCTACCGGAAGTTCCACGCGCGTGGCGGCGTCCGCCGGGTCTATGCCACTGCCGACAAGAACTGGGACCGGTGGAATTGGCCGCTTCCGGGGGTTCGAAGATGTTCGAAGGATGGCAGATGGCTAATCAACAGGGTGGGTCACAAGGTGTGACACCAGCTTGGTGATATTGCTGTAATGATTGATGTATGGACATGTCAACAAGAATTTGTCTGGATTTGGGCAGCAGGAGTATTTGTTTGGGGTATATTGTTTGATGTCTTATCAGACCCTGCCAGCACATTTAATCCACGTTCGCGAGTCGCTTTCGCCCATCGCGCCACGGTCCATGTTAGCGCTTGCGCCACGATCCATCGTTGCCCCACTATCTCGATGGCGCAGGATCAACACTTGGACCTGGGAGAGTTCTCCAAGTTCATCAAGACCTTCTTGAAGGAGCCCAATTAACTGCACAGATCGCCTCGTTTACCAGGAAGTGAAGATCACCTGCAGGGTCACCACTAAACCAATCAACGAACAGGTGGATCCTTGGAACACCACCACACCCCAAATGTCCAGGTGATCGAAACGGCGAGGGGGGGAGTCAGACCTGGGAAGTGAACACCTTAAGACGTACCTGGGCAGAACCGTGGTGAGGTGAGATGAGGTGAGATGAGATGAGGTGAGGTGAGGTGAGGGAGTGAGCAGACCACCCCAATGCCACACGCTTTCCGGAAGATACGCATCACCGATCTGCACGTCCATGTGGCGTTCCCTTCGATCTCCCAGCGACGGTGCGTGAAGTCGTTGCAGGATGTGGAGTTCACCAAGCGCGAGACGACCCAGGCGGATTTGGAGGTTTGATTTAGATTTGGCCAAGACATGGGGTTTAGATCTCTCAGCTTATGGGTTTAGGATGGTTTAGCTATCTCACTGCTATTTCTTTGGCCCATGTGTGTTTCAGTGTTTGTACTCTTTGTGGGAGGGGGCGTTGACAAGCATAGAGAGGCAGCTGCAAGAGTGGAACAATTCTCAAGGGGTACAACCAGGTCTTGTGGCTTCCCTCAACTTACACTTCTTGTACTGGGTGCTTCGGGTCGTATAGTTTGTGAAGTAACTCATCATGGAAATGGACATGGTCATCCGAAATCGGCACCATTGTCCATCCACTTCCGTCTGATGGATTTCAGGGCTGCTTTTTCGGACAGACGACCTGAGCTGCGATTTCGGACGTCACCGAGCCCCGCCGAGCAGTTCACGCGCTGGCTGCGCGACGGTCAACGCAGGTCTTTCACCGGATCAACACCTCCGGGTCGGGCTTCATGAGTGTCCATGAGTGCAGCTGACATGTTTTTTTATTCAGTGCCACTGGATTACTTGATTGAAGAATTGTTGTTGTTGTTGTTGTTTGTCAGTAGAAACGACTTTTTGGTGTTTTGGTGGTGGATGTCCATTTGGGCTCTTTCTAGTAGAAACGTGGGCTCTGGCAATAACAGGGTTTTTAAGAGTTTTGTTTTCAGCTTTGGCTTTGGTTCAATGAAGAGGAAGTTCCTTGGCGAACAAAACATCTTCGCCTTCGCTCGATTTGTGTAACTTAGTTTGGCCGCTTGGCTGTGCAGTACGTTAGCCATTAGCAACATATTGTAAAACAGATCAAGTGTTTGGATCGGTCTGGAAGCTCAGTCTGAAGCTCAGTTCGCCAGGTTGGAGACAGCACTGGAAGCGGTCCGGAGACTCTGTGATGCTGAAGTTCAGCCTGATGGTCTCTGAAGACCGGTTAACTACGGACCATTATGAAGGGTGCCTGGTGCCGGACTGATGTCTACAAAGAATGAGGCTCGTCCGGGGTTTCGCCCGAAACCGTCCGGGTTTCGGCGATTGGAAACCGCGTTTCGGACCGCACGGAAACCGCAGAGCACGCCGTGCGCCGAACGCGAACCGCGGAGCGCAGAAGCCTCGTGTGTTGTCCACCGAGGCTGGTGCGAAGTGCACGGTGTCAGAGGCTTGGGTCAAAGAGACCTTCCAGGCGGTGCACGGAGTGTGCTTTGCGGAAGTGGCACGGTGGGCACCGGTGCCTCCGCCGAAGCGGTTGAAACCCGGTTTTCGTGGATCTCCAACGGTGGGAACTTGCGGTCTGAGAAGACAGAATGGTTGAATGAGTATGTACCATGAAAGAGTTGTCCGTTCTGATTCACGCATATATTCCACGATAATTCTACGGTATACTTGCCACCCTTTGGTCAAAAGAATCCAGGGCCACAAGGAGTTTTCCACAACACCAACCTTGGGCGTCCAGCCACAAGCCTCCATGAAACATGACGGGAGCGCGAATACGCAGATCCTGTTGACCAGCTCTAATGATACCACATGTACACTCCCTGAAACAATAGAAATGGATGGTATGTGATCTAAAAAGGTTGGCCATGACATCCGAATACCAAAGCAAGGTGGTGGGTGAACTCCGCCAAACCATGTGGTACTCTGTCTCGTGTACTCTTGCCTCCTTATGGGGGGTCGTTCCATGTCCAGGCTCTTTCCGTGGCAGTGCAGGACCGGGAAGCTGCTGCTGAACCCATGCTGAACCCATGAAGCATCCTTGTTGATCTGGTTTATCTTCACCAGGAAGTGGAAAACATATGGGAATCGGCCTCATTTGGTTGTAAGCTTTCCATTCCTGGCGTGGTTGGGTGGAGATCCACAAGTATTAAGCCATTGCACACACACGGCCGTCGCACTGGAGGACGCTGGACTGAGCATCAAACAGCTCTGGCCAGGCAGCGCCATCATGGAGAAGGCGAAGTGGATCAATGCTTGTTTGGATATTTACGTCAACTGAAGGGATGTAGGCTACGTGAGTCTGTTTGGGCGTCTAAAAATGGCGAGATGTGCACTAAAAAGCTGTTTTTTTTGTTATAGACATTTGGTAGGGTTCCAGAAAAAACAATCGAACCTCAATCGACAGGAAGCCACAATTGAAGTATCGATGCAGCTCACAGATATTCACAGATGTTGTGTGTTTTGTTTTGACAGTGTCACATTGCTTCGATAGTTGGGACACGTTCTTTCAATTTCTAGAACATTTCAGGACCAACATACGGACAGGTCATGTGACAAGGCCTTGATCCACTCTCACGGCCTCTTCTCACCACCACATCACTCCCCCATGCCTCGTGCCCGGTCTTCCTGCGTGCCGCACGCGGGGGTCTTCCGGGCTGTGACGCCGGGTCCGGTACCCGCGCGCGCGGTGAGGAGTTTCGGGACGTGGTCCTACGCTTCTTGACCCAGCTCCGACCGGCGCAGCTGGAGCGGAAGGGGCAGAGCGGAGCCGAAGAAAAAGCCGTGGAGAGTGGGGTTTCGGGCCCAACAGATGGAGAGTTTAAATGGCTAACAGAGGAAACAGTGGAAACACCTAGGCCATACAATTGAGGTAGAATGAGGCCGCCAATGAGGCCATTAGACATGTTGGTCTTTGTATCAGTCTTATCTAATTATCTACGATATATTGGTCTTCAATTTGAGAACATGCAAGCAGGGTTCCAGGAGGATTCCAGGAAGAGAACGAATTCAATGGGAAAACGCCATCCAGATTCGTCCGGGAATTCCTAAAAGACCTCGGATTGACCCTGCCTTCTCGAAAAGTTCCACCGTCACACCTCACCGCGCCGACCGCCGCGCCGTCTGACCGCCCACTGACCGCGGCCGCCGACTCCGGCCGTGAGGACCGCTTGTGGAAGTTCTTGCTGAGCGCCTGCGCCGAAGACGCAGGGCCCAGTAGGCCGAAAGGTTTGTTTTTTCCCGTCGCGACGCGGATCGCATGGTCAGTGTCTCGGTAGGCATGGGTGGTGTTTGGTGAGTGATCCAGGTTGAGTATGAGGTTAGCGGTTGTAGCTGGCATGATGCAGCACAGGTATGAGGTTCCCAAGTTGGAGAGGCTGCAACTACATACTTGGTTGCTTGAGTACAGAAGACTGAGTACTGAATTTTGGATATGTTCTTAGGCCTAAGTTTCAATCAGCAGATCCCGGTATGACACCCATGATACCTCAGTGAGTCCAAAGTAGAGGGATGTCCCAAAGTAGAGGAAAGGCAACCAAGCATGAAATGTTCTTGCGTTTGTTGCCACTTAAGAACAGCATTCCCACCATTTTGCAGGCTGAACAGTGAAAAGGATCGCTTACCCTCTGACGCGGTGTTCTCCGTCGGGGTGCCGAGTGGATCTTGGATAGGTCGAAGAATGTATTGACAGGAAGACCTTTTTGGACACCCCTTCTTCTCGCACTCAAATCAACACGGACTTAGCTGCAAAGATTTGTCGTCAAGATTCTGACATGGACAAGGTTTTTGGACAACTAGGTCCTCATTAGGTCCTCATCCATGAATAGCTTTAGAATGACAAGCCACTAACAGTCCACCCATGTTCTTGTTCTTCAGGGTTGGCTCTTGGAACTTCCAGTGGAGAGAGAAGCCCAGGTGACAGGGTGCCCTATTGAATACGTGTTCATGCATTCTTCATGTGTTTGTTTTTGCATGCACATACACGTGGTATCGTGGTTACCCAACATCACCCGTTGCAACTTCATGCAACAACAACGGCCTATCTACTGTACGCTGCCAAACGGCTCAGCAAGCTGAGCCATATACAAATCGACCAGAATTTACGATCATTCCGAGGCTGTGGATGAGAATGCCATATACAATGTTGATTGCAATCCTAGTGCCATTTAGATGAAGATTTTCGATCCTGCCATTTATATGCAATCGTACGACTACTCTATCATGCAGAGAAAGAAAGTCCTAACATACAAACGCCCCACTCAAACCTTTGCGTCCATCAGAGGTGAAAGGCTTCATCAACGGCCCATATATACAAAGGCCTCCACTTCCCTCCACACCAGGCAGCTATGGGTCGTACGGGTCGTACGGGTCGGAACTGCGCGGCAGAGGCGATCTTTGGGCAAACCTTGACCAGCAGCCCGAATGAGACCACAGGCGCAGTGGAATGGAGCAAAGCTGAGCAAAGATGAGATGTCAATGTAGACTTTTGAAACATAAGCGCCTTATGAAGAGGTTTTTCAACCCTATCAAACAATTGAGTCTACATGACAAATAAGTCTTAATATATAACTTGGCCAGATAGGGTAAAATATAAGCCACCATTCATTCAGTGAGTGCTTCGTGGTTCTCTTGGGGTCCAAGTGTTTGGACCGTTTGGACCGTTTGCAGTTTCATGAAGCTGGTCAACCTCCAACAGTGGTCCAACCAAGAAGGTCCTGTCTTCTTCTAAAAAAAGCTGACCAAAAATGGAATCCACAAAGAGGACCAAGGGTCTGTTTTTCCACCAAAGAGTCCTCCAACGTCTAACGTCTAACGATTCCTTCTTGCCACCATTCTCCGATTTTGCTGGCGATTTCAACGACGCCAGACCTTTCGTCGTCAGGTAGTGGTTCATCCGGAGGCCCAAGCGTGTCGCGGTCGCGCGGTCGCGGTCAATCGGTCCGCACCTCCCATGGTGTACCAAAGTGTGGTCTAAAGCACCTACCATGAGGCATTCTTACAAGATGCTCCATTCGGCGGAAGAATGCTCCATAGCTGTCCCAAAGAAGGTTTCTGGCAAACCCATTAGCCCCGTGTGGCTCCGGTGGACACATCCCATCGGATTGCCGAAACATGTTGCCTTTGGTGATTGGAGGATGTTCTTTTGCAAGATTCCCAATGCCCTACTAAATGCCTATTCTCTTTATATCTCCTTGTGGCAACACTTGCAATTCAAGCCATTTTTGCATGGAGGTTTTGGACCGAGTCAGTGACCTCACTTTAAGGTCAATGGCAGTATCCCATGAGATTGATTTTTTGCTAAAAGTGACTTGGATATCTCATCCAATCCATCCAAGCCAACCACGAAGCGCTTGCAGCGCTTGCAGGTGTGGGACGTGAGGCCTGCGCTTGGCTTGCGCGTTTCCGTGCCGCGGGGGGCAGCAGATGACCCTTCGAGGAACTCTGTTACAGCCACATGGGCGGGTGAGAAACCGGCAAATCGACGCTCCCTCCCTGGTACTTTACAGGTGGGGGAACCGGGATGCAAAAGCACCGGGATGCAGCTTGGCGGTCACTGACTTCCCCTGACGAGATTCGCGTGAGTTCGGCACTTGAGACATCGAAACGAGCTAGCACGGCAGGTCGAGGGAGGTCCATCTCACTGACTCAGAGTGACCGATTCACTTGGCCCCCCAAAAGTAAGGGAGCCTGCATGGGAGGTCCCTTTTGTTTCGAACAGGAGGCGCAGATCGAACAGATTGAACAGATCGAACAGCTTTTTGCATCCCCAAATCCATCTGAAGTATACCCAGGGTACCCATAGGTATAACCCATATAGGTATAACCCATAGGTATCACCTGCTGTAGCACACCTCGCGAGTGTGTCCGAAGAGCTGTTTTTCGTCGCAGGTGATCGAACAGTTGGTCCAACAGTTGGTTCGTTTGGCCGGGGATGTGGAGGGCTCAACTGGCGGAACTGGCGGAAGAGTAGGTCGTGGGCCGGCTATATAATAGCTGAGGCATGGCACTTGGGAATTCCTTATGGGGTTTTGGGGTGCTAGTAGCTTCTTGTTACTAGTAGTAAGGCCAGGAGCCCCTAGTAGCTTCTTGTTACTAGTAGTAAGGCCAGGAGCCCCTAGTAGCGTTCTTGCTCCTAGCTGTAAATTTGTGCAAAAGAACAGTTTGATATCCAAAAAGTTGACATCCCTTTGGAGAGTAGTTAGGGCCACAGCCCAGAAATGCACTCCGTTTCAAGAGGACATCTTCAAAACATGCCTGTGCACTGGGACCACTGGGACCTATGACCTTTCCCATCCCACATGCAACCTAGCATGAAGGGTGCCTCACAAACAACTCTCCGCTATTCTCTAGCAATACATCACATCATGACTTGCAACAAGAACGCATTTGGTTTCATCGTTCACTCACCATGACCATTTCACTCGTTTTACAAGGAAAACCACCCAGTTCCCTTTGCTCATCCTCTTTAGTACGCCGCTTTCGTGGCGCTTCCGCATCGTGAGACGTGGATGCAGCGTGATCTGCCACCCCTCTGCCAGCCCGTCCATCTCAAACGTCACGTGTGCAGCGTTCGCTCTCTGCACGGACCACCCCTCGCACTGAGACCTCGCCGGACCTTTGCTTCGATGCCCTGAACCCCTTCATCACTGCGGACCACTTCAATCACCTGCTGAGCTCAAGGCTCGGACAGCGCCGGACGCGCCAGGTTCGCACGCGACGGGAACACTAGGACCTTTGCAGCGGGTCCAGAGTTCAGGTTGAAGTGATTGCCGACTTCTTTGTTTCTTTGTGCCTTTTTTAGTTTCTAAAGGGGGTTTAAACTCTTCGACTTGAGCAATTTGTATTGGATTTGGGACGGGTTCGATTTCTGTTGGGTGTCACGTTTTCAGAAATCCATCGAAGAGTCTGAAGACTCTCCCCGGCCCAACCCCGCCCGAAGACTGGAGGCTCGGATTGCACTTCGACCCGGTGAAAGCCAAGCAAATCTTCAAGCTGTGCCACCGGCGCTGTTTTTGTTTTTTCTTGCTTTTTTCGAGTGACCTCGCGCGGGTTGGATTTCTGGCTTTTTGGGGTGGTAGGAGAAGGGAAGATGGGGATGATGGGGTTTGGGTCCAGGTTGGGTCTTCGACTCCGACACAACCATCCAAAGGTTCAACCTGTAGCCGTGTAGCCAGCGGTGGCTTTTGGAGGGAGCCACAAAAGACAGGTTTTTAGAAATGGTTCGCGCAAACGAACGATGAGGCAGAGTTTCATCCCATCATCAGGGTCTTCCAGCATCTTTTAGCAGTAAATGACCAGCCCACCCACCCCACACACACCCGAGAGAGAGTTTCCCAAGCCGACCCTGCTTTGCCCCATCCCTTTTGCATCAGCTTCCGCCTTCCACCGACTCCCCAAGCCTCGCCGCGACCCGAGCCGCGACCCATGGCTCCGACCGTGCCAGGATCGACTCGGACCGCGATGGGAAGATCACACGATTGGAGCGAGGCACTTAGGGGTGTCGCCCAGGCACGAAGGCACGCACGCACCTGGCCACCAGGCCACTAGCACGATGGCGGCAGAACATGTTGACAGAGGATTTGCCAGGCATTCTTTTGTATGTGTGAAGGGCTAGGGGGTAGGCTCTGAAAGGGGATCCTTCACTTTGTCTCCAGAAAAAGGAGCAGAAGGTGGAGAAGGTGGGTCTCTGTCTCACTCTTTGCCTTGTTGCAAGTTGAGGGAACTTCTGAATGTGTCGGGCTGCTCACTCTGTCTGAGTCAGTGGGTGATGCAGTGGTTTGGTGGGACATAAAGTTATATACCTATTTAGGCTGAGTGGAAGGGTATGTCATTGAATCGGCGAGGACTTATGAAGACACACCTGGCCGGCAAAGAAGAGCTGAAGTTTTGAACAGGCAAATCTCACAGTCACAGGAACTTTGAGCTAGTCTGACTCTATTTGTTTTGAGTGAGCCTTGGACATGAGGTGTTGTGGCATTGCATGTTGTGCTTGATAACTTGATGTCAATGTCTTGGCTGCAGCATTAAGCCAGGTTGACATGTTGTCTACAGGTAAGAAGAATGTTTCCAATGCGTGTCGTTGATCAGGTTTTTTCAGACAACACCTATCATGCCCCATCCGAGGCTCCTGTGATTATCAAACACTTCAAGCAAAGCCTTGCATGTCATGTGATAGGTTGGTGATACATGGCGATACCCTTACGTACTAAAAAAGACAAGTACATCAAGTGGCCACTCCCTTCTATATTCTGCTGGCGACCAGCCATGACGTACATGAAAGAGATTCCCTTTCCCCATGAGGGGATGTCGAAGAAGGTGTCTCAAGATCTACGAGGAAGCTCGTGTTGCCTTCACTGCGGCAGTGACGCAGGCTTCCTCTGCAGTGGTTGTCGAAAGGTGCGCTTTTGCTCTCCGAGCTGCCAGCAAAAGACCTGGAAGGAGCACCGAAAGGACTGCAAAGGAGATGCAGGGGAGAAGGAGTTGAAGGAATTGAAGAGTCCACCAAGCAGTGAACAGTGGGTTGTGATCTTTAACACCGATTCACTGCCTGGTCATGATGCAGGGACGGTCACCTCCGGCCCAGAAGCAGCCAAAGATGTTTGCATGAAGAAGGGCTTTGGAGGCATGGTGGCATGGCAAAACACCTTCTTCTTGCGGAAGGAGCCTGTACCGGAACTCGTGGCCGCTGCTGTACATGCTCAAGGCACGCATTTATGGCTGCCCATTCCACCGCTCTTGGACATCAGCAGGACGAGGGTGGGGAACGCTCCACCTGCGGTGTTGCCCGAAGTCGTGGTGTCAGGTGCGAAGTCCGTTCCGAAGCGAAGCAACCTCTCCGTGTCTGAGATGGACGAGCACTTTCACAAGAGCAGACCTGTGGTGTTGAAGGACGCACAGAAGGGGTGGCTGGATTGATATAGAACATATTTAATTCGGAACAAAGCAATCGACAAAGCAATTGTTTGCCATTGTGTTCGTTTATGTGGTCATTGTTCTTGTAACTTGCAACCCCTTGGCAGGGTTTGTCTTAGAAAGAAGTTCTAAGCTCGCCCCCACGACTCTCTTCCAAAAAGAGAGCGCAAGTCTTTTCCGTATGTTTATGACCTCCCAGTGCTGCTATGTCTATTCCAACTTCAAAAAAACGCCGTATGTCCTTCCCATTCAATGTGCTTCGTCTCGTTTCACCCTCCCGTTCCTTCCGTTTCGTGACCTTCGTGGTCTTCCTCCCTTCCCTTCCCACCCCCCCCAGGTGGCCAGCGCAACAGAAATGGACCTTCGAGTGGATGGGCTCCACTTACGGCAATGAGGTGATGCCCTGCAGCGATCTGGCGCCCTTCTTTCGGCATTGCGACCGGGGGCAGATCCGCACGGTGTCCGCGCCCCTGCGGCAGTTCACCCAGTCTCTCGGTCGGTGGGAAAGGTCTTAGGGGGAAAGCGAGTGTCCGCAAGGGTTTGGAGAGAGGGTCTGACGTTTTTGTTGCAAGTCAGCAAGTTGGACTCTTTTTGAAGGGGGTGTGTTCACTTGGGCCCCCCTGATGTTTCCAGATGAATCAATCTCCTTCCAAACACAGATGGAAGTGGACACACCTCAACACTTCGATGATGCGCCCAGAGTAATGGACTTTTTTGAGGTATGTTTTGGGTGAGCCCAGCATCTTCCATGCACTGCAGGAGGACGGGGATTTGGGAGGTCCAGCGAAACAAGAAGTGTGGGAAAGGCGTGGCGTGGCGTGTAAACCTCTGCCAATACCTCTTGTAAGCTCAAGTTCCACAGGCTTGGTCAAAGGCCCGCTTCCACAAAAGGAAAAACAACGTCACCACGGCCGCCTGGGGGATGAAGAAGCCACTCCAACAGAATGGGAAACACCATTGTTTCATGACTTGTAAAACTCTGGGATGGTGTTTCCCATCCGTCTCAGACCAGAAACGGGATCTTCCAGGTGTTGAGAGGGTCGTGTTGACCGGCACATCCGAAACAAACAGGCTCTTCCCAGCCCACCGCCCACGGCCGCTATGGGGGCGGCACGCGAAGAGAACGGCCGGCCTCGCCAGGAGGGCCGCGTCTTCTACGCCAACGGCTGGGCGCCCTTCCTGGATCATCCGGAGCTCCTGCGCGACGTTTCCGATCGCCTCTACTGCGTCAGCGACTCGATCCCCACCGAGGGACCCGCCAAGGCGTGCGCGAGGAACCGGTGTGGGGGTAGGGCAAGGGGTAGAAAGGTGGTTTGCAGTGGAAGGACGTGGGGTTGGATGTCCAAAAAGGCAAAGCTTATATATATATATAAAATACACTTTACATGGATCTTTATATAGTATTGGTTATAGAGACTTCGGTTTTTGGGACAAGCTTGGGAAGTGGGTCAGAAGTGGGTCAAAATCCAACCAAGATTTGCTTCAAAACAAAACCACACTCGTCCAAGTCATGTTCTCCACTTAACGACGTGAAACGTCCGTGGGTGCACCGGGCTTGCCTCAGTCAAGCGATGTCGCATCACGTGCAACCTCTAGTCTCTCCGCTTGGTGACATGCAGTTTGACGCACCTGACTGGCTCCATCTAGACTGGCTCCCTCTCACGCTCGCGTATCAAACACACGCGGCTGGCCCGCTCGCGTTGTATTACAAACACACCGCGTGTTCAACGTTGTCCGTATGCTCGGCCCGCGGCCCTTAGAACACTCCGTCCGCGTGTTTCGATCGGACACTCCGCGAAGAGGTCTTCAACTGCAGCTTGACCAAGATCTTCATGGGCCCCGCAGGCACCGTCTCGAGGCTCCACCACGACACCTACGCCACCCACGTGTGGCTCTCGCAGATCCGCGGGCGGAAGCAGTGCCTGGGCGGGGTATGCCAGGGTCCTGCGGTGGGAGGATGTTTAATTTGAATTGGGTCCAATGATGGCAGAATCAGAACTGATGTAATTATACCATATAAGGTGATCATAAGGTTATTATGCAAATAGGTTTCTCAGGTGTATATAAGGTGATCTAGCAAACGAGCTCCAAATCAGATCAGATCAGCGCAATGTGAAGGATATGCCATGACATTAACGCACGATCCTTGATTAGACAGATGATGCGGAAATCCAAGAGCTGTCCCCAAGGTGTTAGGGACAACGGGTGTATCCTGGATGATCTCACTGGTCCCGGGGATGGTCACGGAGCATGGATATCCAGTGCTGGAGCCAGTCGCAGCTAGCACTTTGGGTCCAACCATCTCGTCTCCTCGTCTGGCGCTGCGCTGAAGCCAAGGTTCATTTGCTATCCGCCGGAAGAGACGCCCTATTTGCACAGCATGCCGGTGGATGAGGTGAGACGAGGATGGTGATGGATGAGGTGAGACGAGGATAATGCGCTTACCAAAGACATATCAAGAGATGCACCAAGGTATATTTCTCAAATTAAATAGACATATGTGGATCCGTGCACATCCCTTTCAGTAAATCGAAATCGGTTGTACATTGTAAACGATTGTTCTCATTTCCTCCATCTACTCTAAGGCCTCTTCCATACTTTACGGATCTTTAGCGGATTCAACCACTCCATCGATTCCTTATCCTTTTTTACCGTCACCGGGTCCGACCCGATGCTTCTTGCCATGCGGTTTACTTCGCTGCGCGTGGTGCGCGCAGCTCGTCTCGTCTCGGCTCGTCTCCAGCTCCGTCCCTCGCTCTTCTGCTCGTCGGCACCTCGCGGCACGCGTGCGTTCCAGGTGGATGGCAGGACCTCGCTCTTCGATCCCGAAGCACCGGACTTCGTGCAGTTCCCCGAGGCTCGGAAGGCCCAGCCCTACAGCGTGGTGGTGGAAGAAGGCGAGGTCGCGCGACCGGGAGCGGGGACGGGACGTGTTTGGGTGACGGGGAGGGTTTTTCCGATGGGTGAACGAGACTGCGGGTGAACCTGAGAAGTGTCAAAGAGGATATTGGGCAAGACAGTGGTGGAAAGGTAGAAGTGCCCAAGAACCAACTCACCATGAGATCCACAATTTGCAAAAGGGGTCGATCAAAACATGTACACACTTTGCAACTGGATCATCAGGGATTTCGATCGCAACTGTTTTTGTTGACAGAGTCGAACGAATTACGAGCGGGTGGATCATGTGTTGATCCCTCAATTGGTGAAGTATATATCCAAGACAAACCACTCACTCGACGAATTAATAGTCTGACCACACAGAGAGTTTGATCAGATGCGATGCTCTGCTCGTTCGGGGTGCGCGGTGCGAGGTGAGACGGTGATCCTACCTGCACGCTGGTGGCACTGGGCCAAGAGCCTCACTCCATCGATTACGCTCATGAGGAACTTTGTGAACCAGAACAACCTGCAGGACGAAAGCATTGTGACCGGGGGGGGGCTATGCATCAACTGCCCATCAACCTCGCAGGATGATTTCAGGGGGCGTCACCCATTTCCCAAAGCATGAGACCCACACATGACCGACAGGACTGCAGGGTGTCCGTCCCACCGTCGAACGAAGACACCCCCGGCTTTGTTAAGA